AGAGGTTCTGCTGTTTTTCTCTCTCCCGAATACACACAGCTCTCACAAACCTTACTGACATCCTTCCTTTGCACAAAGTCCTTAGTCTGCCCAGTCCATAGGCTCAGAGGGGCATCCTTCTTAGTGTTTATTTCATCAAGGAGTCTAATTTTGTGCTATAATCCTGCAGGGAGGATGGTTGTCACATCCATCACCTTAGCTCAGCTTTCACCCCACTGCCCATACTCTGCTCTTCCTCGGCCCTTCCTCACCACTTTCAGCTACGCCTTTTTGTAGTATCTTCTTCAGCTTCTTCCCACAAAAGAGCTGATGAGCAAGTTGCTTTCTCCGCACTGTGCAGAGCAGATGATACATTTCACAGCAGACCTTGCTGTAGCCAGCAAAAGCTCTGGTCAGATCCAGGTCTTAAGGTTTCTCTGCAAGACCCATCTCACTTTGAGAAAGCAACCTCTAGCAGCCAGGCAGACCTGTGTTTGTCTTCCTGCAGCTGGCATAAACTGGAGAAATTTACTGCTGTGTTGTGTGTCCTGGCTAATTCAAAAGAAATGTGATCATAAAAACACCTAGATGAAATTCTCATCATTGAGTGGTCAAGAACCAAACATTGTGAAAATCAGACATTCTTGTTAAAACACGCTCCGTTTGCACTCATGTCTGTACGTCAGGAGCAGTTTCCCATGGAGAAGCAGCGTTGGGGAGCTTTTTGCAGGAGTGGAATGTGGCTGAGGTCTTTTCCTGCAGAGTTTTGGAAGCAGAATTCATCTGCTGGGAAGTGACGTGGCATTTCTGCCACGAGAGAATTTTCCATACATTTTTGTTACGGTGAGAGATAGGAATAGGAAGAGTCACGAGCACCTTAACGAGCTTGAGGTGAAGCTTAACACTGCCTGCAATGTTCTGGGGGGAACTTCACTGCTGGGGAAGGGAGAGCTGGTGCTAGCAGCCTAAACTGGATCACAGTCCCTTCCCAACCTCCTTACTGGAGTGTCTGTTTACTATTAAAGCTCTTATAGTTGCAAATTGTGACTCAGGTTTCTTACGAATAAATATCAACAAAAGTAAGAAGAGGTTTTTAGCTTAGAGTTAAAAGCGTGGGAACAGCTGAGTTTGTGAAGCTCTGACCCTGCCATGATGTGGATCCCTCCTGTTGGAAGTCACGGTGTACATTTAAGGGCATCAACCATTTGCTGTGGTAAGAGCTACTCTAACACTGGGAAAAGTCTCCAGAGAGAACCAGATTCTTAAAAGAAATCCCCCAAGTTTTCAAAAAATTCTCTCTGTGATCACTGGATCCCAAGACATGCCCGGGCTGCATTTACTACAGTTCAGGAACACAGAAAAGGAGACAACGGCAAGTGATCACTACAGTTGTAGATTTTGTAGCCTGGAACTATTGGCTGATTTATACCAGCTGATTATATACTATTTCAGATAATATTATATTTATTATATATGATATGTATTACATATTGTATTAATGGCCGATTATGTATTATATTATTAAAATAACAGTGACTCCTTAGAGCCATTTCCACAAGCTGGAGCTTCTTATGGTCTTGGGAGATCATTCTGCAGCCAGAAATAGCTGAAGTTCAGGGTAGATCTAGGTATCCCAACTTTGATTAGCTGTGTTTCCCACGCATTCTCCTGACAAACACACATTGCCTCCCCCAGAATAGGGCTATGTGAGTTTAGCTGACTACCTGGTTGTTCCTTTTTTTTTTGCCACCATAGGTTTAAAAAAAAAAACCCACAGTGTATGCAGTCCAAAATATGGTCCCATTGAGAACATTTCCAAGTATTATCTCCATCTGCAGTGAGAGAGAACTTTCAGGACGATTTCTTCTATGCTATTTTGAACACACATCAGTTTAGGGTAATACTCATTAACTACTATTGAAAATTTTGTTTGAAGAATACTGAGTTGCAAATACTACATAGGAAAAGAACAGTGATCAGGTACATAAGCAATGTTTTAATGGCTAAATGTTTTTTTACATTAAAATCAAAGTAAGATCAATATCTGAGGGCCAGGGATGCTAAATTATGTCAGTGTTTTCTGACCATTCTAGTAAATCATAATGTTGAGTTCCTGAGTAAGTGGGGCAGAAATCCATAAAGTGAGTTTCTGTGAAAAAAAAGACACAAAAATAATGAATGACTTTATGTTAACTTAAAAAAGACCAGCTCAAAACAGAGAACAAGGGAAATGAGCTTAGACTTTCATGATGCCCTTAACCTCATCTGGTAGGCAAGACTGACTTGATGGCAGTATGCATTTTTCTACTGCTGTATCCAATCGAACATCCCTTTTAGAAATTCAGGTACAGTTTAAAATTAATTAATAACATGAGTTAAATATGAAATTATAAATACAATACCTGTCCTGCTCTCGATCTGTTCAATGTTAATTTTGATGTATTTTATGCTACTCTCATAATTTCCATTTTCAGTACTTCACCAGTTCACTTCTTTATGTTTCAGAATTAATAATCTCTTAAAATGCATTATATCCATTCACACGTCTTAGCTATTTCTTTGCCCACCCACAAATTCATGTTAACATCACTCTAACAGTCTATGCTTAGATCACTTCTTCAAAGTATGTAAAGTTTTCACCTTTCATCACAAACACTACCACTACTTGGTAAGCAGGAAGTCCACTTCTTGAGTGATTTGCCTTTTATTCAAATACAGGGCCAGAACCAGACAAAAATACTGCAACCCCCTCCAAACACTAACCCAAAAGTGACGGGCAGCCAGAAAGCTGCTCCAGATTGCACTACTGCACGGACATTGGGAACTACGGACAGTGGGAACCTCCCTGCACTTCCCAGCAGGGGATGCAAGTGGAAGAGAAAGGAGAACCTTCCCATGCTCAGGTCATTTTGTTGTCAGCACAAGCCCGGCCAACAGAAGTGCTCCTCTAGCATCCCTGCTGCAGTTACAATACAGTTCCTGTGGCTCTTAGGGTACGGTACTCCAGGGGGAAAGAAAAAGATAAGAGACTCCTAATAATAGGAAGATTCTGTGATATTACAAATGTGAGATCAGGGTAGCGCTGCATGAATCAGAGAGAAAGAAGTGGCTTATTACTAAGCAAACTGCTTCTATTTATATACAAATAACTATGGCTCAATTATGCACTTAAGCACTGCTTTTAGGCAAATTTGCTTTCTGTAAAGCAAAAGCAATATGGTAGAAGTTACTTTCTGCAACATCCCTTCAAACAGTACAGTCTTGGTGCTTGTTAAACTATTATACAGAATGTTATCTCATTAAGCCTGTGAGAAAGTAGCAAATTTGCCCTTTAGATTTTGTTATTTTTTTAATTACATGGATTGTAAGTTTTCAAGATCTAAACCCAAGGTGCTAGTGCTTTTTCTTTTTTTTTAATAGAGACTCAAACGTGAGAGGATTATAGGTAATGGCATTACAACATCTGTAGAGGGATGGTGGGAGAGGTTTGACTGAATCTCTTAGGATTGTAAGAGGAATACATTTAGCTGGTTTAGGTTACTGTCTGATTTAAATAATGTAATTTTTGTGCAGTTTTGGACCTTTCCTACTACAGCAGCTTGGTGGTTTTTTCTCCATTATTTGAAATAGTTCTTAAGTCACTGGGATTATCTTTTGCGCTCAAATCAAATTTTAAATGATACTTTTGTGACAAGCTTTTTAGTCTTTCTTAATCATCTTTTTATGTGATGCTGTTAGTATGCAGTTATCTTCTGGATTTCTGTGATTGGTGCCTTCAAGCGCATCTCAATGGAATGTTTTCTTTACCCTGCCACATTTATGTTGCTTTCAGGTTTCTTAGAGGCAGTTTGGCTGTTAAACAATTTCTTCCCTTGAGGCAATACTGATTATACTTATTTATGACATCGTCTCTGAAAGTGAGTTTTTTACAATTCTCCAAGGCAGAAATGTATTCTCAGCAATTTTCTTCCTTTAGAGATTCCTTCAATAAAATAAATGTTAGAACCAGGTGTGTATAATGGGGATCAGGCTTTGGTTGCAAATAAACTGAAATCATTAAGCCAGGTGGGTAGAGTAACATAAGAGGTGACATCCATTGCTTGCTGCCTCAACTATCTTTGATTGAATGATGAGTTAGTGGCATCTTCTAGTGTCAGTACTGGGAGCTCCCTAAATGCAGGCCAGTGCTGAGATGTGAGTACCACATCTCATACAGAGTGTGCACAACCCACTTCAGCTTGGTGGCTGGTGACAGATATAGGACAAGTGACCAGAGCAAGGGAAGTTTATTTAGTGTTGCTCCTTTTGTCTATTCTTCTGTGGAAAAGGAAATTGGAACCACAGAAGCTGTCATGGCTGTTCTTTAGGGGTGTTCAGTCTGCCCCCGCTGGGGCACCTCCTTGTTGGTGCTAGAGGAGGAGCACTGCACAAGCAGTCATGCATTTTTATCTGGGACACTGAGGTTGGACACTTTAAGATGCTAAAACTGTAACTGTTGTCTCATTGTGGTGATAGTTTCTTAGGAAAAAATGTACAGCAGAGATTCACCTTTCCCTCCTCTGAAGATAGGGAGACACTCATTAGAGCCAGCTACACTGTAATAATTTCTGGACACTAAGTAGTTGTAAGCAAATACCTCCGCTATTTCTTTTCAGCAGCTGATATATAACTTTGAGAGCTTTTCTCATTTATCAGAATGATAATAAGGCCCATAAAACTGCTAACATTTCTCCCAATTTGTGGAGCTATATCTTCTTTTCATTATTTCATTAGTTTAAAAACTTGTATAAGTGGCAGACACTAAATGAAAGAGAGAGCAAAGGTTAAAGTTTCCTAAAAAAACTCTTGCTGTCGCTTCCCACCCCTCCCCTCCCCCTCCAAGACTCAGACTGTTGTATCAAGCATTGGTGTCCGCTTACCCTTGGAAATGTAAAGGGGTGTGGATGAGAAACTGTTCCTGTTACTCATTGACTATCTATCTTTCCCTTGGGTTTTTCATAATTGCTCAGCGCAGCTCTTACCCCATTCAGCTCATAAGAGAAAGCATCTCCACACATGGCTCTTCCATTCAGAGCAACAGCATGAGGTTTCAGTGTCAGGCCAAGAATCACAATTTTGTTGTACTTCAGAGTGTCAACTCCTCGGTAGCCATTTTTGAGTATTTCTGTCTTCAGGTTTCCCTGGAAAAAGCCACAGAGAAAATTTTAGGACCACGACAACTCTTTGGAGGTGACTTACTGCATACTGTTACTGTTGTGGTCTCATCTTTGTCAATGAACGCATAGAATGTCTTCCAATGTAGACATTAAAGTCTGAGACCGTGAAGGAAAAACAACAGTTACATTAATTTTCACGTAAGATTTCATGTATCTTTACAAACTAACAAAGTAAGAAACAAAATAGCATTTACAACATTCATTTTGAATCTTCTTGGACATGTTTTTTCTATTTGTAATCAATGCAAATTTGGTTCTTGTACCCATTTACAGGGTGCAGTGGCATATGCAAAGCCAAAATCCAGACACAGAGATTCAAATAGTGACCTTAGGGTGGATTTAGTTAACATCCACAACTAACTGCTTTAAACCATTAGCATCTTCCACAAACATCAGCTACTAGATATTTTGCCCCTATTTTATGTCCCACATCCCCACAGCTCCTGCTAGAAATCTCTGCTATGTACGTCCCAGCTTTAAGGACACTGAAGGAACACCATATGTCCCCAGAGCCTTGTTTGTTATACTTCTTATTTACTATGTATCCCGTATTTAGGGTGTATCAAGGGGACGTACAAAGTCATTAAACAAATTCATTTGGATCACCAGTGACAGTAATTTCCCATACAAGCAATGAAGAGGAATCATTGCATTTGTTATGCGATCAAAGTTGTTAAGGAAATAAAGATGAATTACACTGCTCAGGAAATGATGAATTGCTATGCAATCATGACTTTTTAAAAATATGCCAAGGAGAAACCCATGATGGAACCTTTTGCATAAATTACTTGTGTTATTTCAATGGTGCATGGTAGGAGGGGAGCAGAAGCTAGATCACAGTATTTGTAACTTAGGGCTGTGCTTAGACTGCTTATTTCAGGCATCCGCACTAAAAATAAGTGCTAATCCCCAGCACACTGATTTAAACTGCCTAAATAAGGAATGTTGGCTATTATGGAGCAAATGGGGAGAGGCCTCTAAAAGCCTCTGGAGAATGTGTTAGGGTACTTATATATGGTGTCTTCTCCCCATTGGCAAAGTTCCAGCATACAGGGGGGTTTAGTACAGGGACCACCTCTCTACAGTGATTTATTGTTGTCTCAGATGTGGCCAAGCAGGAGAGCTAGCTCAAGGTGGCCACATGGACCCAGCAAACTCAGTGTGATGCTGAACTCAGTGATTACAACTGTATTAATAAATAAAGTTGTACTCAAGCTCCGAGGCCCTGAGCCAGGAGTCTGCAGTAGGCACCATTGTCCCTCTGGACCAAGGATCTGACAGTCTTGGGGAGACAAGGAGGTGATGGTCCAGGGGAATGAGTGACCCTCTCCTCCCCAAGCATCTAGTGGTTAAAGCAATTGCCCAGGAAGGTCCTGAGTTCTCATCAGAGGGAGGGAACTTACGGATATCACTCAAAGCCCCATAAATGCAAAGCACAAACAAGTCCTGGATCCGAGGCCAGAAACCAGGACTTCCTCCTGCACTTCTGAGCAGCAGAGTCATGATTTTTCTTTCTTATTGTCTTGCTCTGGTCCTATGAACTTCACCTTCCCCCCCCCCCAACATTTTCCCCCTGAAAATCGGACCAGTTTTAGAAGGAACTTGCTCTCAGGCTATTCAGTTGACTAGTGGCTAGTGTATTCTTTCAGAAGCTTCCATTTCCTTGGGCAAGCCTTCCCATCACCATCCCTTTAGTGTTTGGAGTCACTTGCTATGGTCTGAGCACATCTGCCTTGTCTGCCACCTCTGGGAATGGAGGCAGAGTTTATGGCTCTCCCTGCTCATCCCTGAAGTACAACGGATCTTACACATCTGGCTCACGTATTTTTCTAGACTGGTAGACTTAATATATGGGGCGCTTTGACTTGGGGCACTTTGGCTTAGGTCACTTAGCCCTTATGCGTGTCAAAATGGAGGTGTCAAGTGAATTAAAATACCGACTGCAGTGAGACAGTACCTGAGAGCAGGCAGCTTGAATCTTTCTCTGAGACTTAAGTGCCTGCACTAGTCTTGAATTCTTCTTTGTACTTCTGGGTTATTTAAATGCAAATATAAATGAGAGGGTCTAATCCTGTAGCTGTTACCTGCACAACACTCTGTGCTGCGTTCAGGGTAAATGCTATGATGTCAGACCTTATCAGTAAATCTCTTAGGGACCAAAACTTGTCTGTTCTCCTAAAACTAGGTGTGATTAAATTATTCATCCACAATTTTTTAGGAATATAGAAATGTGCGACAAATACCAAGACTTTCGTACGTTTCTCATTTGCTATTTGAGATGGATTTTTTTCTTTATAAACACATAATAAAAAATCAACATTAGAGATTATTGGAATGCAGATAGGGACTTCAGTCATGAATTTACAGGCAGAAGTCAAATATAAGCAATGAGAAATGGAAGTGCCAGTGAATCAACAATCTAATTTGCACAGATCAGAATTTAATATAAAACTGGATATTGTTTTTCTGTAGCCTTCCTGCAGTAAATTACTATATGCAAACTACAGAAAGCTGAAGTGATTTTTCCGTCCTTTTTGCTGTTGAAATATCCTTTTTTGAAGGAGAAGAAAAATTTTTTTCTTGGTAAATCAAGATGAAAATAAATTAAAAATTAAATTTAAAGTCTAGACATGTGGTATTAGTTCCAGGAAAATATCTCATGAATATACAAAACTGCGTCATAAAACCCATCAGTTTACTCTGGCTTGCTCTCACTCCTGGAAGACAAACATTCTAAGAGCAATATCACAATAGGGGTTAACATGATTTTATTTTTTGGATATTTTCTGTAGACTGCTTTCGGGCTTTTAGGAATACACGGCATGAAAACCATGCCACAGTCTACATACAATATCCTATCTCTTACCAGACACTGCAATTGTAGATAAAATATGATCTGTGTAGATTGCTGAAGTAGGTTAAGTTTTTTTACACTAACTCCCACAACTTACTATCATATACTTAATGAGCTGCTAGTAGATTTATTTTATCGCATTTTTCTCAATTGAAGCCTAGACTGTTGGGTTTTTCTATTGAGCTTTCTCAGGACATGTCTGCACAGAAGTGAGCGCTCTGTGAAAGGCATTAGTGCACTGACCCTGGGCTAATCCATTTCTGTGCTGCGTGGAGCATCTGATCAGCACAGTGGGTTGCTGGTAGCGTGCTGAATCACTCCGCGGGAGACCAACCATGGGAGCAATCTCCATGCTGTCAGACAAGGAAATGCAAGCTAAAGAAGTGAGACTATGTAATTCTCTGGGCCACAAAATGCAAGCTTCAAGCGATCAAAGTTAAAAAGTTGCTGTGATATCCTGAAGAGAGGAACGTAGCCTTCTCCCACCCATCAGACTGAAAGTGTTCACAGGAGGAAGACAAGGAAAAGATCCTTCGTCCCCATAAGCAGCGACTCAGGAAAAAGAAAAACATGTGAGCTGAAAAAGTGGATTTTCAGATTCACATCACAGCAGGGACATTAATGATGTGTCACTATGATACTCAATGAAGCAAACACAAAACTGCAGCATCATAGTTGGATTATTTTGTAGCTGTCTGTAGATGAAAGCATCAGGTAGCTTACCAGGTTTAAAGGCCAAGCTATAAGAAAAAAGCTTTCCAGAGAAGAGTTAGACATCAGCACCTTACAATGGCTACACTAAAATACAGCTACCTGTATGTTTGTAGGTACCTTCTATGTTGCTACTTACTTTGCTGTATGTATATTTAGCCAAGAAGTAGTTCTCCTTTTCAACAGCATCTGTCAAAACACAGAACAAGGAGGATTAGTATCAAAACAGGGAGCAAAATCCATAATCAGTTCACATTAATTGTAGTGAGTGGCTAACATCAGACTAAGATGATTTGTGGGTTATTTAATCTCTTCCTCTAGTCTCCTTAGGGTGATCTCAGGGGAACACGACATGAGTGATTGCCCTCTCTAGCAGACCAGCTGTTCCCAGTGTCACACCTTTCTCATATCAAAACGCTGCACTCTGCTTCTCACCTCTGTAACATTCAACTTAGGGTCAGTTCTCCAGCTATTTCTAGCAGGAGTCAGTGCCATTATACTGCTGAAAAGGCGGCCTGAGGAGAGCCCTGTATACAGACACTGCTTCACAGAGGGGAACCAGGCTTACCAATTGAATCACCATCATCCCAGAATAAAGACCCAGAAGCTTCTCCTTGCTCATCCAGGGCTATAACGAGCCCAAATGGATTCAGACGGCTGTTGACAAACACAATGAGAAGTGTCAGTACAAACTGGTGGGCACTGTCCCGAGTTATTTAGCAAAAACTTTTGAACACAATTAGCTCCAATTTTAAGCTTACAAAAAAGGCCATGACTGGCCAAGACCTTTTATGATTACAAAAAAGGCCAGAAGAATGACAACCATGCTCACCAAAATGTCTCCTGAAATGATGATGAAAAGTTTACCGTCCCTTGTCCCACTGAAGTGTAAAATTCCCACTTTTTGAGTGCTCGTGTGGATAAGTTTCCCCTTCTTTAGTGGCCTTAAGGTATGATAATTGGGCAGTCTGGGATGCAGCTGGGTGCTACCTTACTATGGTTTGGTTTGGTTCCTGCACAGCGCTGTTCCCTTCCTTCACTACTCACATTAGCTTCTGAGCATGGTTCAGGTGTGAGGCCAATATATTATCCATTGGTGTGAGGAAATCCTTTTCCTCAAAAGAGATTTGAGCTTTTCCACCTTGCCCATGGCATTGGATAGATACATCCAAGGAGAAGAGTTTTGCATTTTCCACTTGCATATGTTTACTTTGAATGACTGGCAGCAGGTCAGTGTGGCAGTAAGAGGTGCAAAAGCTTTTCTGAGCATAATCTCGGAGTCAGGAGTAGGTTTCAGCTGTGCGAACTATGATGTGGGTCATCTCTGGGGTGACTTCTCCTAATGCAATGGAGCGAATAGTGGGATAAAAATACTGTGCTTATCACCTGGGATGGCAGCTGGGAGCTGCAGATAGCCTCTCTTCTGCATTTTCTTTTGATTGCTTTTTTGGCTCTCTGTGGGTCTGACCCACACTGTGGTTGTTTGGTGACGGACATAGATTGACGTTACCTCTTAGTAGTGGTCGTGGCTGGTGCCTGTTCTGGCAGGAGGTAGCCTCCACAGATGAACAGAGGGATCTTGCTCAGCGGGGCAGCCACAGCAGCATAGTTCTTGTTCCACGTACTTGGCAGTTTATCACCCTACTGCAAAAATTAATGTACTTAAAAAACCTCAAATCTGGGCACTATACATTTTGACCGTATACCACTGAAAAAGAGACCAAGGGGTACATTTTAATCTCAATTACATCAGTGAAAATGCAAACAGAAAAGCGGATTTCAGGGGTATTATTCCAGTTCCTTTTTTTAACATGAAAGAGGATCTAGCCCCTGCAGTTATGCATATGCATGAGATAGAAGCATCATGAATGAAAGATAGCAAATTGTCTTTAAAAATGGTATATCATTATTCCATATGCTGTGAAAAAAACCCTCATCAAGACACTGAGCAAAAAGCAAAAGAAACTTTTGCTTCCTCTTTTTACGCATATGGAGCCTGTCACATTTCAGTTTAAGGTAAGTGATTCATAATCATTTTCGAATGTAAACTGTAGATTTTCTTCTCTTTTAAGGACAAGTCTTCCCCTTTCAAAAAGTCATTACAGCATTCAATGAGTGAAAATTGTATACGTGCAGACAACTAGCATAAGTTATCTGCATTATTCCTTCCTAGTTTAATGCCTCAAAACCAGGTGTAGGCAAGGCTTACATACAGAGCAGATAACAGGAAGGCTTTGCTCTTGCCCTTTGTGAATGGTAATTATAACTTATGGTTAGTACTCAACCTTGTTTTTGGATAAGCGTCATGTGTATGGCAAGTACGTGCCAAATGCTGGGAGCTGGGCTTTGCTAATGCCGGGGGTGTGCCCCGTAGGCAGGGCAAGGGACACTGGGGCTGCCGTCCCTGCACCCAGCCCAGCAAGGGGCTCTCAGAGAGAACCACGACAAGGAGAGCTGAATGAAATGCTTGACCTCGCAGCGCCACATTCTTATGAAAAGACAAAAGGGAAAGGGGTGGATGAACATCCATCTGAGGACACCAGCCAAATGCTGAAAATGACCAAACTTCTTTAAAAATAAGTCTGAATTTCCTCTGAGAGCATTTCTGTCCTGCCCTCTCCTCTGCCAGCATCGCTCAGTGTGGTTAACAACAGCCTGATGCTCCTGGGCTCACATTTCCAAAAGCTCTTAGCATCTCTGCTGAAGCCAACACTGGTCTTATCCTGCAGATTGCAGCAGAGTGTAGTTAGGTTGAAACTGAGCACTTTTGGAAATGCAGTACTGGGGATGGTGTTCGAAAGGTCAAAACCTGTAGCCCCTGAAACTAGAAGAGGCTGGCATTTTCCACAGAACAGATTGTTCTGCAGCTTTTGGAAGCATCTTTTGGGTGCTCCTCTCTCTAAATATGCCTTCTGTCAAAAGTGATGCATGTGCAAAACTGCATGCACAAAATGGTTTGCAGCATGTTCTCAGGACTACGACTCAGGTTTCTGTCTCTGTTTCTATGCAGGGAAGTGTATCAGTACAAGAATTAAAACATGCATTAAGGGAGGAAAAAAGAAAGAAATCTTGACAGTTTCATGAATTTCTAGGCTTCTCTTGAAAATTCAGTTCTCTGTGTTTTAAAGCTTTACAAACCAAAACCAGAAAATAAAATGCTACTGAAAGCTGCGTAATTTACTCTCCCAGCTAGCCTGATGTAGACTTTTTGTGCTCTAGTTTTCTTAAACACAGATGCTGAAGTAAAAATACTGCTGAACATTGATAAAAGTTATTTTGCTGGAATAGTACCATTTTGAATTATGTAAAAAATGTAAGAAACTGAATCTTAAAAATACATACGGTATAGTAGTCAAACCATGGTGCTTCAGGGAAGTATACATCCACAGATCTTGCTCCCTGTAATTGTTATAAAGTGATTAAAGTCTTTTTTCTTTTTGCATTTCTGATATTACATTAGCTTTATTATATTTGCGCATGGAGAGATGTATGCTGAATATTCTAATAACATCAAATCTTGGATATTATGGCTGAGTTATTATCATAGCAGTGGACTAGTGCTGGCTGATCTATAATGTTAAACAGACGAGCCTATCCTGTTTGGGGGTTTTACCGCAGTTCTGTGGCATGATTATTTTGGTCTAATACATAGCTCTATGCCTTGCGAACGTAACTGGCCTAGGTGCACTCCTCTAACATCTGAGCAATCCCAGTGAGGTCTGCGCCAGCCTTTGCAAGACAGGACTTCACATCTGATGACGGAGCGGCGGGACACCACTGCTCAGTGCCTCTTGCACCGTTCCTGTTGCAGAAACAGGCAGAGAGTAAGATCTGGCAAGGAGGATACACAGATATTTGTCTTCTTGGCAACAATTTAAAGTTGCAGATAAATAATAATAAATAATGTGCTGCTAATTGCACCATTGCTGTACTTCATTTTGCAGCATGCGTTGTATGATATTGCTGCAGGGATGAAATCACGCTAAAGGCACTTTGAATTAATAACTCCAGGAAAAGCTGGAATCAAAACATACTTCCTTTTTTGTCTCTAGTTGCTTATTCTCACAAAGAGATTAATTTTGATTCTCAACATAGATGTCTGCCCCTTTGCAGAGTTATGGTTTACCCCCAAGATTTACCCCAGGGAGCAGGTGGAGCATAAAAAGTAAAGATGGAGGAGAAAAGTTAAGGCAATGTTACCGTTTGACATTTTAGAGATTTTTATATATATAGAATAGAAGGAGTAAGAAATAACTGATTTATTAAAGTATGCAAATCTCACATTAGAATACAAGAATTGCTAAACTGGAAATTTGTCTTGTCCTGCGGCCTGTCTCCTGTGGGCAGTGCTGGGTGTTTCACGCAAAGTGTCCTAGTCCTGCAGTAAGGAAGGTTGGGGTAGTGTCTGTCTGTTTAGATCTTACTAGCTGTTTAACAATTAAAGGTTGGCTTAATCTGTAAAGTGCCTTGAAAACTTGAAGGAAAAACCCTATAAAGTCAAAGTGCCCCTCTCTCCATATTTTCTCTGCATTATTGTGACAACCCTGGATATTCTGGTCTGCAGAGAAGTGTGTAACCACCACCTGAATCGTGATGAACCTTGCCTTCATGACTCCCTAAATAACAAGCCACTGTGTAAGGCAGTTAACTTTGATGGATGTCTCACTTGCTCACGCCCTAGGTCTCAAGGAGCGAAGGGAAAGCTGCCCCTGAGCCAAAGGGAAAGCTGCCTCTGACTCATCTTCTCTAGACAAGCGAGTGCCATGCTGAATATTTGACGCAGTCACTGCTGGCCTGCAATGCCACAGTGAGGGGCTTACAGCTCACTTCTGCCCCTTGCCCTGCTAGCTGGCATAAGCCCTGGCTGCCACCTCTCTCCCACTGCAAGACCCAGTAACGTGTTGCCTCCAAAGCTCTGCTTCCCCCGTTGGGCCACAGGCACCTGGCCTTCCTTTTGTGCTGCAGTCCCCCAAAAAACATTAGGAACCCCTTATCAAGACACTCTATCATTTTATATATCCTTGTAATGTTCCCTTTCATTCACTTCTTTGCAGGAAGCCACCCCTGGCTTGTCACCCTCTCTTTGTGGAAGGTTTCTCTCACATCTTTCATCATCTTGCTGGTCTGAGACCCTGTGAAATCTCCTTGTTAGTCATCAGCTATTAGAAACCTGGGGCAGTCTGAAGATGAAAGACTGACGAATGAAGTGCCTCAGTGGAGTCAGAATGGCTTTAGATGCAGGAATAAGAATTTCCTTTTAAATTCACAGAGGCACAAGGGCTGGATAAAAAAAGGTGACTAGCAGTGACCTGTTTATATGTTTGATCACCAGCAGCATCTAGAAAATGTATCAGATATTCTGGCAGCATGCTGATTGCGAACAGTTCTAGGATACCTCACATGCAAACATTTAGCTCTGCTCAGATATACCTTTCTGGTGGTGTCAGCAGTCAGTGGTGGGGCAAGGAGAGAAACCCACCCTTGCTCCAGCCAAGCAGTGAGAGCCCTGACCCCAGAGCCATGCCCAGCACAGCCATAGGAAAATGCTGCCTTTTAAAACCTGTCATATTAGCAGCTAACATTGTCATTACCATTTCCGTAATGACTGCCTTTGCCTGTGATGCTGGGAAACTCCTAGCACAGCCCTTGAGATGCTGCAGTTCCAAAACGCTGTGGGTGAGTGGTAATATGGAAACCAGTTTGCTTTAACATCTGCGTGTTTCTTCCTAGCTCGACAATTACTGCTCTCTGTGTGTCCTTGGAGGGAGCTGTCAGCACAATAAGAGGAGCACACGAGGGGCAGCATCCAGCCTGTTTACATCCATTTGGTGCTTGGAATAGCAGGGAAATGCCGTGCCCTCACTTTCATCCTCCCACTTCAAGCGCTGGGCAGCTCTGTACTGTCTGTGCTGCTCAGAAATGCGTCCTGCAAGCTTCCCTTCAAGCTTTGAAGGGAAGAAATGGGTGGATATGAGCAAACATGCCCTGAATGTCATCCAATGCCCTAAGCACAGTTCATTTCTTTTATTCCAGTATGATGGCATTTTTTAATTACAGTACTTGCCTCTTGAAGAACTGGAGCAATCATAAAAGCCGGTCCCCAAAGGAAGGCAGTATCTATTCCGTGAGTCTGCTGATCAGAGGTAAATCTAGTGTTGAAAGTGAGATACGCAATGTTAATTCACATTTTTATAGAACTTGCAGAATATTTTGATACTACTCACTGTGACAAGAAATCTGCTTCCTCAAGACGTCCAAATATTTTTCCTGGTTGAGGGAATGCCAAAAGCTGGACAGAGATTCAGAAATTACAGTAGCACCTACCATACTGGAGCAGACCAGAACCCTCACAAAATGCTCGAGCTGATTTCTTTGCAGCATAGCAGCAGTGGGAAAACAACTAACTTAATTTCTGTGCAGTGGGTTGAGACTTTATTGAGGGAGCCAAAGAGCAGGACAGGGGCCAGGACCAGGAGAGGGAACACAGAGGAATAACGCTGTGCTCTAGGATCTAAAGCATTTGTGAAAATCCTTGGATTTGGCTTCCCGCACCTTTCACAGATTTACATTAGAAATCTTCTGCAGGACAAACAGAAAGCAACATTCACACATATCGCGCTTTTTAGCTGCCTTTCCTGAATGGATGAAAACTTAGGGAATTCAGTCCATTTTATTCAATGCATTAAAATCGTTTTGGATTCTGCTCATGTCCTCCAGAGTGCTTACCAGTCCCATTCGCCTGGCATCATCTGCCAGCTTGGGAAGAGATCTCTATTCCACCATGCATCAGCTAATAAAAATATTGAATAGCACCTGGGAAAGAGGAGAGATCCTCCCCATCTCAGGAACCTCCACTCATCTAGCATAAAAGCCTTGAGAATTTAAATAGGCTTTCAATCCTTTGTAAGCCTATGTCTGAGGAAATTCATAACGGATCCTTGTTCCCTAGTTAGCTTATAAGAATGTCACGTGGAGTGTGTCCCAAGCCCTCCTAAAAGCAAGGTACCTTGTACCTCCTGCTTTCTCAAGCTCCTCTGCCCCCTTTCCCATCCAACAGCCCTGCTGCCTTGTCAAAGATGGTGATTGGGCTGGTTTACCGTCATTCGTTTTTGACAAATTCACACTGGCTGTTGCATAGTAACATATCACTCTCTAAGGACATATAAATTATTTGTTTAAAAGTTTCTTTAGTGTGTCTGTTTTAATTTCACTGTAATAAAATTATAATATCCAATAATATATGATCCAATATACTTTGTTGTGGGAGATTTCAGGAGAAAAAGCTGATCAAGAAATTATGACAAAAGACAAGTCGATCTTATTTGCACGTGGAAACAAGCGTCTCACCATCTAACTCAGCACTATTTTCTCTTGCAATTACAGCAACCACGAGCACAAATTCAGCAAACAAATGAACTTTCCCATTTTGAAAATATAAGCCATTAAGCCATATCTGTGATCTACGAAAGGTGCTTAATTCCATCTGCATGCTTCCTATGGTTAGATGCTGGCCTCTCTTCTGTCTTATTTTGCCCCTGTTTAGCCATTAAGCAGACTTTCCCTTCCAGTAATGGATTACCACCTCCCGGTCTTTTTGGACAGCTGAGCCACTGGCGCCTCTGTTTCACTGAGCGAAAGCCTCAGAGGCACCTAAAATGCTTATAGGAATCTATTGGGATGTTGTTCTTGTTTGTTGTGTGAAATAAGCACCTAAATATTTGAAATGAAATGAAAAATCTGAAATGACCACATGAAATAGCTATTACTTGGAGACTTCCTGCCCAGGCAGAGTTGTTTTCACGGTGAGGCTTGTGAACCCATAAGAGCTCCACCTGAAAAACTAGTGCATTTTTAGCTCTCCTTTGTATTTGTTACGAGTAAGGGAAAGGTTTGATGTAAAATTCCATCATCCGTACATCTAAAATTCTGTTTCAGTTCTCGCTTTCTCTAAAACCCACATTTCTCCTGTTAGCATCTGGATCACTTTCTCTACTTGAGCAGACACACTAAAACCAATGGATATTAATTAGAAATAATTAATTAGAAATATTAATTAGAAATAATGAGTAAAAAATACTCATTAAGTAACAATAGTAACCAGAATTAAGTAATAATAGTAAGAAATACTATTAAGCCATTTTAGGATCTAGCTATGGCAACATTAGCAAGTGATGTGCCCACTAGAATGGGACCTGGGTAGTGAAACAGTTTGTGCTGATCTCCTGATGCCTACACTCCTTATGTGCATTTCAGGGGTTTAATTTCCTAGTAATCCCAGTCTGGTCCCACCGACTAAACTCCCATCAATGGCTGGAGTGCACCTTTCAGCTCAGTTTCACCTGTCGGAAGTCTCCGCATCTGAGACTGCTCTGCAATTCAAATCAAAACAAATCTGGAAATTTGCTAATGTAGATATGGCCCAAATAGACTACAAGTATGCTGGGAACGGTCAGAACAGCAGCTTTAACATCACTAAAGTAATTCTGTATTAGCAGAGATTAGCTACTAATAATGCCAAAATGAACTCGGTCATTTCCAACTACTAACACAAATTTCATTAAGCAAAAATAGAGCTAAAACAAATACTTGAAATAGCATATAGACCCTTGTAAGACATGAGTACCTGTAAAATTTCTCCTTAATGTAACCCAGTTAAATAAGGTAGCAGAGTAGGAAGGGGAAAGATACTGCTTTTAAAATTTATCAGTTAGCCATTACGCTGAGTAGGCAAAACAGGTTTTGTGCATATCCTTTCCATACTTAAATCATCTGCACTTTCATGTAATCTCAGTTTAATTTGAAAAAAATGCCTTACCCTTTAACCAAAATGTTTTTAACCTAACGGGAAAAAGAACATTAAACAGTCCAGGACGTAGCCTGCACCAATGAGACTAAATTGTGTCCAAGCTTCGGGCAGTAGCCTTTCATATGTATTATTTGCACTCTTTTTGCTCCAGTCTTTGCATAAAGCATTCTGAAGTAGAAAATTTACCAAAAGCAGGTAAAAAGCTAATTAAAAGATGCTGAGAGGGAAACTAAACCTCACTTTGATTCCTGCTTCTTCCAAACAGAAAAAATTAGTTGTTCCAAAAATCTAAGGTCACATTTTCTGAGGGTTTTTTCAGTCTGTATTTATTAATCTCGGTTTTGCACCTGCTTCTGCACTCAAACATCTCTATCTCTGTACAATTTGTGGACACAGATGTAGGTTTCATACATAGCATGCAGATGCAAGTGCTAAATTGGAAAATGCAAATGCTGTGGATGATTGGAAAATGGAGACTTCTCTGTATGAGGCCTTCTTGGCATTCTGGACCAGAATACAGATTTCATAGATTTAATTCAAATACAGGAAATACAGGTATGTGATTCCTATTTTTAAAATAAAAAAGAACTGCATATTTGCCTGAGACAAGTAATTTTCAGAATTCTCCTTACTTTTTTTTCCAATGGAAACAAATATAGGTTATATTTTCATGAAAATCCACTGCATATATTAGTTATTTTTGTGCATATAATTTGATTAGATTTCACTGTAAAAGTGTTATTTTTAAGAGAGAGCATGCAGTAATATTACTGTGACTATTCTCAAACAGATATCAACTAGTTTATAGAAGCTCAACTACTTTTGTGAGTAAAATATGATAAAAAAGAGAGACTCCAAACTCACTCATGCATCAGTGACCGCACCACCGTGTTTCCATGAACATGAGACTCGAATAACAAGGTGTATAAGTATGGCAGCAGTGAGTATCTGATCTGAAGCGTAGCACGAGATATCTTGGCAAACTCTTCTCCAAACACCACTGGGTCTTGTTCCTGTTAAGGAAAAACTTTGATTTGTACTGAGCATTATAACTAGGGACTGCAAATTCAACAGAGAACTTGTGTGCAACCTAAGGAGAGCTGTGGCTGACATAATGCTATGAAAGTGAATGTTTAAATAAGAAAAAGCACTGATTTGCAAACTGGAAGAGGTATTAAGAACAACATCCATTATCACCAAACTAATATTTGTATAAAATTTTTCAACTTGAAAAATTCCGGTGAGTTCAGGGCAATCAGGCCCCACTGCGGTGTATGTGAGCCACCTGCAACCGCCCCTAACCTCGTGATGGGAGGGGAGCTGGGGTTTCATGTCTGTGCTCAGGAACAGACACCATGTCTCCAGATATTAATTTATCCCGGAGATGCAAGCCCTCTGGGACAGAGAAGGTGAAACACAGGAAAAAGGGAAGACTGATAATCTGCAAGACAAAGGCAAAAGCATAATTATGTTGGCCAAGAACATAAATGCAAATCTATTTAAAAGTAAGAGTAAACTCATGACCCTGCTGAAGCCAACAGGAGTGACTGAAGTCACTGTGTGCGGTGGGAAAACATTTCATCCATTCAAAGAAACTTGATTTCTCTTCCTGTGCCCAGCATTTTAGGATGCCCCGACCGAGGGGACACTCACACATCAGCAGTGCCCCTCACCTCCTCGCTCCCAGCGATGCTCTCCTGGGAGAGAGGGCACACGTACTGGGTCCCACCATCAAGAGGGCAGGTTTAAGCAATCTGTCTAAACTCGTTGGCTGCTTCTGATGTACTTCAAGGCAACCTTGACTCTCCCCTGCGATGGGATGCGGAGCACGCAGTCCAGGGCAGTG